GACCTGTTATACCATTCTGAGCAAATAAGAACTTGTCATGTATGGGTTTTATCTGAGCATTTTCCAACTTCCTCTTGTTCTTATTTAAAACATTCTCAAATTTCTTGTCAATGTCAGCAAACTTTTTTTCTAACATATTTTTAGAAAAATTAAAATTTTTATCTTTTAGGAAATGTCTAGCGATTTCGCTATCTATATTCGAGACAAGCTTTTCGACAGCAAAACATCTGTCGACCATAAAATCTTACATAGTGTAAACAAGAAAGGTGAATTTGTTCTAAAGTTCTGTTTCTGGGAATATGACAAGAACCATAAAACCTTAAGCAGAGAAGTCTTAAAATTTGTCAATGACAGACTTGTTGACAGAGATGACGCCTCTTGGAGAGATGAAGTCCAACAAAACTTCTTAGAATGCAAAGAAGACACATGCGCTGTTCTTGAAAATGAAATAGAAAACAGAATAGAAGAGCTATTAAAGGACAAAGACTTTTACAAAAATATGGTTCTGAGAAGTTTGACATAACTCCACCAGAAAAGAAGAAGAGAGAAAAGAAAGAAAAGAAAGTAGAAGAAGAGAAGAAAGAACCAGAGCCAGAGAAAAAGAAATTTGACATGTAAAAATAAAATTTTATTTTTAGAACATTTCTGGGTCAATGTCAATGTTCTCTTCCTCTTTAGGAGCAAACACTGGCTTAGACTCTAAAATCTTTTTACCCAATTTACCTTGAACTTCAACTATCTTAGACTCATAATATTCATAGTCGTCTGCTTTCTTTGGTTCATAAGGTATAACAAGTTTGTATGCTTTGCCTTCTTTAAGGTTTGAGAACCTTCTGTCAAAACTTTCTTTGACTGTTAACAAACCTTCTATGTCTAAGTCTTCAAATTTCGCACCATTTTTAGTCACAATAGCAAACTTAACTGGTTCGATGTTCCAAACTTTGTCAAATGTAGACTTTTCAAAATGGTAGAAGTAAACATTCAAATATGTGAATGGGTCTAGTTCTTCTTTAAGTCCTGACATATACTTGTTGACTGAGATGAATTTCGTCATCTTTTCTATCGGATAAAAAAAATATTTTTTTTAAAATTTACTCAGAAAAATTTTTCTTTGTATATACACCATTCTGAACATCTAAAAGATTTTTGACATTTGCCAAGAATGTTCGTTTAGACGCTGTCATATAACCATACTCTTGACAATACTGTTTATACGAATCGTACAATGACCTTTCATCTAAACACTCAAAGTTAGTCTCATCTATAAACAGTTCATATACACTCTTGTTTGCTTCTAACAATGTTTGTCTCTCTTCGGTATGTGGAATTTGTCTTGGATTGAACTTAGAAATATCTAATGTCATGAAATATGAGAACAAGTGGTTGTAAAAGTCAGATGTCAAAGTTTCTGCTAAGTCGTCAAAATATTCTGTATCTTGCATATGAGAATCTGACGTTCTGACAACTACATATCTTCTGTCAGAACTTTCTAACTTCATCGGAACGGCGTTGTTTGAAACCATGACGAAGTTTGCAACATTTTCACAAACTCTTTGGTCTCTTACTTTCTTTCACAACTCCAACTTTGTCTGTTATAAGACTCTTCAAAGCATCCGAGTTCAAAACTTTTGTTGTATCTATACTTTGAAGTTCGTTACATACTATAAGTTTCATATTCTCTATTGAAGAGTTAAATTTACCGCAGATGTTTTCTAAGTTTGTCATATTCGGGTTCGAATACCTTCTAACAGTTTGCATAAGATATCTGTAAAGAAAGTGTTCTTACCTGTTCCTTGTTTTCCAATTACAATGAGAGCAGTTTCATTTTTAGCACTTGGATGTTGTAAGATGTTTGCAAACCAACATAAGATATACTCATAGACTCTTCGTTTCTTTCATTGCATATAATTTCTTTGACATGGTCTAACCAAGCTTCTATAACATTTTCTTTCCATTCTACTTGTTCGTATTTATATCCAGTGAAGATAGAATAGAAGTTTGGAGATGGTGCATAGAACTTTATACCACGAACTGAAAAATCTTCAAGTTTTGACAATAAGATATCCCAAGCATCTAACATCTTCATGCCAACTTGTACGACTTTTATTTTCTTAAGTTTCTGTTTACATTCTTGTTCTGAAACTATTGTCGCTTTAGGTTTGTTTAAAGACTACATCCCATTCTTTCATGACATAACATTCTGGGCAGAGTCGACATAAATGACTAAACGTTTCAAATTCTCGACTGCTTTGTTATAGTCTCTAAATGGACACATATTTCTGAAGGCTTGGAAGTCATAAAAATCTGAAACGTCTATTCTGTACATTTTTTATAAAAATAAAAAAAAATATTTTTTTTATTCTTGAGCTATTTGTTGTTCTTGACTTTGTTGTTGCATTTGTTCCATTTGTTGCATTTGTTGTTCTTGAGCTATTTGTTGTTGAAGTTGTTCTTGTAGTACAATACTTTCACCAGTTGCATCTTCCAATTCGAAACTTTCTGCCGTCATTGACAAATACATAGGACATAAAAGTTTTACAGGAACAAAGTTTGCGTCAACTAAGGTTAAGTTTATGTTTGCTAAAGTGTTTGAGTTTACTAAAGCTGAAAACTCTGCATTCGAATGAACAATAGGCAAACCAGCAGAGAAAGTGTTGTTTATACGCATGAGTATCTTTTGGTCATAGTAGTTTCTGTCGACATTCGAATAGCACTTTGAACCTAAGTTTGAAACAATATATAAAATAGGTGTACTTAAAGTCAATGGAACAGACATTCCTTGTATGACACCTTTCCTGTTATAGGAAACTGTTGGTAGTAAAAACCAGATATAAGTTTTGTATTATAGCTCATATCGTTTATACTAAACTCAGTCGGACATCCAAACATAATGAAACCTGCTCTAGTTGCAGCACATGTTACATCCGTCCTTAAAGTATTAAATAAGTCAACAAAACCTGTTGGTGGTATATCTGAGTAAGTATCTTCAAAGAGTATTTTTTACCATTCACAACAACAAAGTCTTCTGGTGTCAAAAGAGCAAAACAGGCTTTAGTCGTCATCGTGTTTAAGGTCAGTTTACAATATCGTCCTTGAGGACTTTGTAAGTTTGTTGTTATAGAATTATATGACTCAGGGTTTTTAGTCGTAATAGTATAAACCACTATGTCTTCTGCCATTTTTACTTAGCAAGTAAATTTTAATGAAATGTTGTGGTCGTCAAATATTTTTATGACGTCTGGGAAACTATATTTTAAGTTCAACGTTTCACCTCCTTTCATAACGTATATCTTGTCAATGACATTATATGAAACACCACAGCAAGCAATGTCGGGTTCTATTTCTTTGATGTTTATATCGTCTGCCTCTGTCAAAAGTTTCAATAGTTCTTTCAAAATTCATGAGGTGCGATGACATATGAGTTCACTTTTACAGGGTTGTGTTCGACCAAGTTTAACATTATACCCAAAGCTTGACAAATCTTCTCCTGAGTTTTAAGTTTGTCTTTAAGTTGCATGTAGTCGTTTCGAATATCTGCAACAGAACTTAAGTCTCTGCTAACTTCAGGATATGTTGGTTGTTCTTTTACAGGAACTATTGTTATACCATCTTCGTCTTCGTATGGTTTCCCCACTTCAACATCTCTTTCTTTGACATTGACAACAACACTTTGACTGTTTGTTTGAGTTGGTGAATTTAACTTCACATCTGCCATCGCCATTAAACCTTTTGAAACACTTACGCTTCTATTTTTCGGAAATGACATTTTACTTAGAATAAAAAGATGGACGTATTTGAGTATCTCTTCGAATTGAAGCAAAACAAAGTTTACACACACAAACAATACAAATACACTGATAGAATAGTTCTTTACACAAACAATGGAAAATGTTATAGAATAGCAATATTTGCTGAACCAAAATATTTTCATAAAGCAAAGAAAGTTGGTATAACTGAAATGGTGAAAGTTCTTGACGTTGACAAAAATATAACAACAAAACTGACCGATATTTCTAAAGGTAAGTTTTTAATACAATACTATGTTAAGACTGGCGTACTGTCAATATTTGACGGAGAGAAGTCAGTTCAAGAACAACTTACTGACCTGCTGCCAAAATCTGCTCGATGGAAGCTGTCGTTATACCAATCTGAGGAGCCCCAGCAGGTTTCATCGAACGAATCTTCAAAAGAGCATCTTCCGTGAAAAGTGCTATTGGTTTTGTAAACTTCATTGCTCTCAGTTCATATGGACCGTCTCTGTCACCAGTATATTGTATTTGTACAGTACCAACAGTTGAAATACCACCCATAAAGTCTTCTGAGTCAGCAAATGGAATGCCAAGCCAAAAGTTTGAACGGTCTCCATTTGTATATTGAGTTTTTTGACCTCCTGTATGAGTCCATACTTTCACATATGGCATAATAGAACTTTGCATTTCAGGGTTAATGGTTGTTGTGAAGTTGTTGTTAAAGTTCATAGCATCTAATGTCAAGTTGTATGACCTCATATCCTCAACTGTAGAATATTCTTCTCTTGGATAATATTTGCCATCTATGTTTATATGATATTTAATACCGGGGTTGTAGAAACAAGAATAGTCATTTATAGTTCGTCTGAACAGTACAAACATAGTATCTGCATGTTTCATTGCAGTTGTTAAAGCAATATCTGTTCTTGCACCTGCGGTTCCTGGATTTTGGTTTCCAACTTCACCTGCAAAGTCTTTGACAGATATTTGGTGTATAGGGAACATAAGTGGAACTGCAATATATTTGGCAGCTAAAGCATTTGAAATATCTGGGTCCAACATATAGACTGCAAGTCTGCTTTCTATTCTCTTGCATTCAAACTGTTTGCATGTGAACTTAACTGGGTCCCAAGCAGTTCCAGCAGCATTGAAATAATACTTTACTTCAGTGTTGAGGTTTGAGAAACCAAAGTTTAGGTCAACTTTGTCTTTGCAAAATTCGGCGAATGACGTTTGATTTGCTCCCTTTACGTCTGTAAGAGTGAATGGGTCTTGCGTTGGTGCAATGACTAAGTTATTTTTGCTTGGAGTAAGTTCAATAGAAATTTTTCCTGCCCAGTTTGGCAAGTATCTTAAAAACCTGAAGATGAGGAAAGATGACAAAGGAACTCTAAGTTTCAGTTTTACTTTAGTGACAGCATTTCCATCTGAACCAGAAAGGTTAACATAAACTCCTGGAACGTTAGGGTCAAGTCTTCTTATTTTCTCAATAGTTGCATATTGGTCTGTTTGTTCTCTAGCTTGTGGTTGTACTGAGTTTCTCAAAGCGAACCATTCATAGTTTGCCCATGTTACTGTTTGAACTAAGTCAGAGTTAGAATATATCTTATATCCCATGAAAACTTCTGGAGCATATTGGTATCCGACATAGAAAATTCCATTGCAACCTTTCTTGTCAGACAACTTGGCAGAAGGTTTTATTTCAATGTCTTGTTCCACGTATAAGAATGAGTTGTCAATAGAAATTATATGAAACCTGTCGCAAGCAATATCTACTGTTGTTGAAGAACCTTCACCAAACTCACCTACATTTCCATAAGAAACAGCAGTTGTATATTCGTAAGTTCCAGGAACTATTTCTGACCTTCTAATGGCATTGTCGCATTCGTTATACCATTCGGAAACATTTCCATTCATGGCATCCAAAACTGTTGGCGTTATATTCTGAGCGGCGTACATTTCATATGGGTAAAAATATAGAATAGTTGGGTTTATATGTCATAATAGAACCCACGTGGACCAAGCTTTACTTTCTTCCTGATTGAGTTTTTAACTCTTCTTTTTCCTTCATTGCCACTACTTTCACTAGATGAAGTTACTTCTTCACTACTTTCACTTTGTTCTACTCTTCTTCTTTGGTGTCGCTTTGGTAACTTGCCCTCTGCTTCAAGTTGTTGCATCTTTGCCTCATGTTCATCTAGTATGTTGCAAATTTTCCATGCCCTTTTTGCCTTTGGGCTCTGGTCGCCCATCTCAGGTAACCTATATCCTAGAAAGAGTTTGTCATAGTTTGTATTTGAGTCTTCGCGTATTGTTTGCATGACTCTTTCCTGAGTTTCCGGTTCAAGCTCTTCAAACAGTGCCTGTCCATATGGAATATGCTCGTTTCCAAATATATGTTTTTGTAGCCATTCTGGTTTTCTTTCCATGTTACCAACTATATCTTTTGTGAATGGGAAAGCTTTTACCCAATCTTTCAGTCTTGCGTCGTTTATTTCTGTAGTTGGTTTTATTTTGTCAAGGAACATGTTTTTCAATACTAACATTTCATTTGGTACTGTCCATTTGAGTTTTCTTAAATATTCATCCCTTCTCGGTTCATTGTCTGCAAAGTAAGTTTTTATGACATTTTGTAAACTTTCATTTGCAAGGTCATGTACAATAGGTTCTCTTCCTTCGCTCTCCCTAACTTTCTTTCTAAACTCTTCACCAAATATACCATCTCTATGGTTCTGTGTAGTTCTTTGAGATAAATGTTCTAGAACGTCAGGTGTTATATTTCCATCAGCCATGTTCATTTCATACTGGTCCAAAATATCTGCATGTTTCATATCTTTCAATGGCATTAAAGCCGCGCTTAAAATACCAGCTATATCTGGTTCACCATTGACTTCCATTGCGTCTACAACTTCTTGGAATTGAGGTTGTAAGTTTATGAACCACCTATCCGGTTAGCTTTATGACCCCATCTCATTGTAGTTCCATAGTCTGCAGAAACAAAAGTAGGTTTGTTTCCATATTGGTTAGGTTCTGAATGAACTTTAAACAATGTTTCATTTCTATATGTTTTCTTGAAATTTAACCTTTTATTTTCACCGAGTTCATCCGAAGATTGAACGTTAAATGCTCGTAAGTAAAAAGGGTTGTTGTATTTGTGTACATTTTCTTTCAGTACTTCCATTCTATGCTGAATATTTTCATCTGGTGTTGGAGTCTTTTGTATGTCGGCAAACATTTTTCGATATTCTTCTACTATGTCAGCCGAATTTTTTTAGACTCTTGGAAATATTCCATATTCTCCGCATACTCTTGTTGAGGGTCAAGATTTTTCGGCTGTTCCAAATCTTCATCTAGTTCTGTGAAGTTAGTTTCCAAAGGAGTGACTTGTTCGTTTCCTTCAGGCTCTTCTAGCTGTTGTTGCTGAACTATTTCTTCCATGTCTGGTTGTATCTGAACTAGTTCTTCCTGTGGAGTTTCTTGTACCTCATCTGCTGGCATTTCATATATTCCGAGACCGTTTTCAACAAGTTCCCTATTTAAGTCATCCGCATTCATAAGCCTTTGTTCTTTCGTTCCGTCTCTATTTTTTACGCGTTTCATGAAGATAGTTGAATCATCATTTATCTCTGACACCAAATATCTCGGAGTAAATTCGTTCATGTCATTTGGATGATATGCTATTAAATCATATCCCTTAGCGAGCTTGTATTTTCCAGGTTTGAAATTATATCCCATTTGGTGCTGAACCATAAAGCTAAATAGGTTCGGGTCAGTATTTCCTTCCTTGAACTTTCTAATAGCTTCTTTATATCTGTCACTAAAGTCAAGAGTATCTGGGTAACCATAGTCTTCTTTAAGCATTTTTAAGAATTCTTGGTTTCCTTGTTCTCTACTTCTTTTATGTCCTTGCTCTGTTTGTGGTTGTTGTTGTGCAGGGTTTTGAACTGTTGGTTGCTGTGCTGGTGGTGGAGGTGGTTGTTGTGCAGGGTTTTGAACTGTTGGTTGTGGAGGTGGTTGTTGTGTTGGTTGTTGTGCTGGATTTTGAACTGTTGGTTGTTGTGTTGGTTTTGGTGCATGCTTGTGTCTGTGTCCATGTGACGATGTAAATGTTTTAGGTAGTCCTGGTGCAGGTGCTTCTCTTGGAGGGTTTGGTGGTATATAAGTTCCACCAGCTGGCACATATGTTCCATCTGCAGCGTAATGTCCTACCTGACTTTTCGTTCTTAAGAAAGCATTTACTAGGTCTGTTTTGGTCTGTTGTAACTCTTTTTCTTGACTTTCCACAACAGTTGCTCTAACGGCGTCATAGGCACTTTGAACTGCCTGTCTCGTTGCTGCATCTGTTATTTTCGTCATATTTTGTGCTACTTCTTTTAACTCTTTGTCGAAACCTTCAGACTTCAGTTTCTTTCCAGATGAGAAGTCGTTCACTTGTTTCACCTTACTATGAAGAGCTTCGAAGGCGTTCTTAAAGTCAGCATTTGTTAAAGCTTCATTTGAACTGTCTTCATCCGCTTGTATTTTTGTCCTTATTGACCCTATGAGTTGGGCTGCTTTAGCGTTGGCTTGGGCATCTAACCAGTCATTGTTAGCTTTTTATATTCTGCGCTTTTCATTGCCTTTTGCATAGCCGCGTCGTTATTTTTACTTTCTTGTGCTAAGTTTTCATACTGTACGGTTTGGTTTTGCAACTGTAAAAGTTTTTCTGCTTTTACATTTGCTTCAACTTCTTTTTTATACTCATCGCTATCCATATATGTCTTCAGGGCTTTTTGTTTTATCTCTTCATCTTTCAGTACTTTATATTGAGTAGTATGGTTTTTCAAATTTATGACATCTTGTTCCATTTTTGCTACTTCTGCTGCTTTTTCTGACACTTTTTTCGCATATTCCTCTGTACTTAGTTCTTTCAGTTGTTCTTCTTTCTTCTTTTTCTCTACGTTTAACTCATTGAGTTTCTTTGTGTGTCTGTCATATTCTAGTTTCTTTTCGTTTTCACTTATTTGCTTCTGTATGTCTATGTTTGACTTTTTGACATCTGTTATTTGATTTTTGAGTGAACTCAAATTCATTTGACTTTGAGGGTTATAGGCTGTTCCGTCTGCAGCTCCACCATAGCCTGCCATTTTCGCTAAAAGTGCCGCTCTTAAACCTCCACTCTGTGCACCAACAACTCGGTTTAAAAGCATAGGATTGCTTGACATTTGTTGCAACATAGTGGGGTCATTCAGCATTTGTTGTTGCAACTGTTGTTGTGGTGTTAGTCTTACTATTGGATGTTTCAATGCTCTCTTCCTCTTACGTATATTCTTACGTAGCTTACGTGGCATTTTAAGTGAAGTTAAAAAGCGGCTTTTGACAGATGTTTATATGAGACTTTCTCCGGTTTATAGGACCTCTCTCATATTCTATATTGTCAAGACTTCCTGGACTGTTGTCAAAATGTCATGTTGTCTCATTTTTTCAGAGAAGTTCGTTTAACCGAGGGACCGAGGGACCGAGGGACCTGGTGACGTAGCGACGATAGACCCTTACTTGTTATACTAAACATCTTCAGGGGGCTAGAGGGGCGCAGCCCTGGAAGCCCCAATACCTTTTTTTTTTTTTTTTTTTTTAAATATCTTAAATTTGAATAACATTACCATTTTTCATTACATGAATATGACATAATTGCTCTTATGAACTATGATATGCTACTTCAATATCATAAGCAATACATCTGACATAATATAATTGATTTTTATAAATGTTTTCTTTTTCAAATTCCGTTATTTGCAAAACCATATCGGCAAACCCAAATTTTAGCTAAAAGTGACAGGGAAAAAACGTTTAGTATTAAAAAAAAAGACCGATGAGAGCTTCGTTCGAAATATAGAGGGAACTGAGAATGCGCAACCATTCTCAGGGAATATTGGATGCTATTCCCGTTCCCTCTGTATGGAAAATTGAGGTTTTCAAAGGGAGTTAAAATAATATCAAATTTATACTAATTTACTTCAAAATACAAAAGTATTTGACAGCTAAAATTAGTTACTTTAGCAAGCCTATCAATACCCTTTTACGATTATTGCTACTTTTTCGAAATAAAAGTAAAAACAAATTTATACTAATTTACTTCAAAATACAAAAGTATTTGACAGCTAAAATTAGTTACTTTAGCAAGCCTATCAATACCCTTTTACGATTATTGCTACTTTTTCGAAATAAAAGTAAAAACAAATTTATACTAATTTACTCCAAAATACAAAAGTATTTGACAGCTAAAATTAGTTACTTTAGCAAGCCTATCAATACCCTTTTACGATTATTGCTACTTTTTCGAAATAAAATAAATTTATTATCAAAAACCTTTTTTTCTTAGTAAAAATAAAAATGTTATTTTATATCAAGTTTTTATTCATAAATTTTTATAATGTTGTATAAATTTCATTAAAATTTACGTACATATTAAGGTACTTATCTTCTACATATATAATCTTCATTAGATATATACATGATAAATAAAATTCATAAAACATTAAAAATCAAAAAATTAGATGAACCTTGGCAATTAAACTTTATTAAATAATAGTTGTTTATAAATTATATTATATTATTATTTAATATTATTTTGATAATGAAGATTTTATTTTGCAATAATATAAACGAAATTTTTTACCTTATGAACTTTTGATGGAAATATGCAAATTTAAAATAATAAAGAAAGCCGCGAGCGAATCGAGCGGCTTAGGTCTAAGATTTTGATTCAAATCTTTGCTTATATTCCTTAAATTCTTTATGAAACTCGCAACAGTTCCATAAAAAATTTTAAATTCTAAACTGTCGAAATTACCGATCGGTAATCACACCCTTCACGGGTGTGTCACTTCTTACAAGCGTGTCACTTTTAGCTAAAATCACCCCTACTCAAACCATATCTGGTTCATGGCCTTATCTAACAATCCTAGCGACAAGAAGCATTAAAATTATAATATTTCTCTTTAATTTTTAGTCGTTTGAGAAAAATAACTTTGATAAATGCATGAATGCAATTTCAGTATTTAAAAAAGTATCTACGACAAATAATAATTTCCACTATTATATTTAATCGATTTTATATTTAGAGCCTCTCAATATAACAAAAAAATGTAAAAAAGGCCACAAAATTATATTAGTTTATAAATTGAAAAATCAATACCTATTACTTATAACAAACTGATATTATAAACTAAGGATGTCAATTTGGAAGAAAAGTGAGAAATTCCTAAAATGCTAAAAATGAATTTTCCAAACATACTTTTTTATCTCATTTTTTTGATTTTGAAAAAAATTTGGAGAGAAGAACTCTTCGTTTTTGAATTTTATCACGATGGTTTTAAAGTATATTAGACACATGTATTGATATTACTATTTTTGTATATTTTGAGAGAAAATCCCCAAAAAGTAAGAAAATCTAAGACGGTTTGAGAAACTATATAAACTATTGAAAATTTGAATTAAACTTCTAATTTGGAAAAAAGAAATTTGGAAAGAAGAAAATTCAAAAATCGAGATTTAGACTCAGCATCAAATGGAGAACAAAATGTTTCTTCATATGAAGGAAAAAAATTTTCTTGAGAAGAAATAGAGTTTTTAAAATTTTATTGTATATAATGAAATAAACAAATATTAAAATTATTTTTTGATAACAAGAAAATTCCCAACAGAAAATATTTGAGACAAAGAAAAAAAGAAAATTGAAAAATATTACTCTCCTTTATATTTCATGAGATTTTAAATTTATTCTCATAAAATTGACAATTTTATACGTTTAGATGAAAATAATTGATTTTGCTTGAAATAAAAATTATTGTTTGCTTACAGCTATCAAATAGATTTTTGCTATTTTGATTAAAATTTGTTAATCAAATTAATAAATTTTTTGTAAATATCTTAAATATCTGGATCACTCACTGATACAATGAATTGAACGATAAAAATAATACAAACTCAACTAAGTTTCCTGTCTTTCAACTAAAAAAAATTATGCAAATTAAATTGTTTATTCAAATATTAAACAAAGATGAAGTAATTACAGTTATCATAAACTTTATGAATAACTCTGTAATTGGTTCAGATTTTCGTAAAAATATTTTTATTAATATCGATAAGAATACGTTTACCTACTATCACAACATATCGATAAACAAGAGTAGAGTGATTTTTATCGAAACTTTTTAAAAGCTGTAAGCTGGAAGGAAAAATCTTGTTTTTTCTGAGTTAGTTGTAGAACTATTGATGCACGAGTTATCATTGTGATGTAGAAGGATGTCAATGTACTGACTGAAGGATATGAAGTGAATTGAATTTCATTGCATTTCAATTTGATCAAAATTTGTTGAAATGATATGAATGTGTCAACATCTGTATCACTCTCTTTCACTCCTTCCCTATTCTTTCGAGAACGAAGCTAGCTCAGCTTTCGCTGAGCGAATTGACAATTTTGATGCCCTAAACGTACATGCTCTCAAATTTATCGAAAAAAATTATACCACCTAAACTAGTATATTCTTATTTTAAATATGATATTATCCTTAGAATCACACTAGAATATATTTAAATCAACTTTTAAAAAAGTTCGAATCCTGCGCGTCTCACTTTTTAAATTTTCCAAAAGGAAAATTATATTCTCCTAAAATGAAAACAATTTTCCGAATTGACATCCTTAAAATAATCGAAATATGAAAGAAATAAAACTTAATAAAAAATGAACGTTTATAATTTTTCATTATGGATTATCCAACTCCAACTACTGATTTCCTTGATGGATCAACACATGATCACTTAATGTTACGGTTCCACATATGATTTAGATCATTCTCCTTAATATTTATCGAAGAAAAACGCCAAATAATGAAATTTATTTGGTTTATGCCCGCTGAAGTCAATTTAGACAGATTACAGTCCAAAGGATCCAGTAAAAATCACAATATTTTTACACATGGCCTTAATGAAAGCCAACAAGAATAAAATTCTTGCAAATTATTCAAAGAATTGTAAGTTTCATTGGCAAAAATGAATAAAGATATTGCTTATATACTATTTTAATTTACTAGCAATGATTTTTTGAGTCTTATTAAGTTTTTTTAAAAAATTAAAATAGCTAAATTTACATATTTTTAAGTTTTTGTTTTGAATGCACTGCCCAAATATACTCAATGTAAGGATACTATTTATATTAATATTGGCTTCTAAATATCAAGGTTTACACCTTTTTGCCCCGTTTATACCTTTTTCTCCCGAATATATATATAAGCATCTCAAAATCTATTCATTTAATATTTTGTTTTTGGATATTTCGAACTGCTTGACAACACCACATGATATCGATCCTCTTCAGATCTAAGCATTTTTCTCGTTCTCTGACCAGTTGAGAAAAATTAATTATGGTATATAATTATTTCTTTCAATAGAAACGATGCATAGATACTTTCGATTGCTTGTTGTTGGCAAAATACCACGACCGAATTCCATTGTGTCAGAATATGACCATAAATATTCAGGCAAAATTTGATTTCTGACATTCAAAAGATCAAAGATCAAAAACCATATGTGAACTAGTAAAATGCTAGATTTTGTTCAAGTTATATCAAAAAATGTAATTCTCGACTTTATTCAACAAATTGGTGAATTCGTTTCTTCTCAGGCAAACAGAAGATTGTTCTGATAATCGCTAACGCCACCAGCAAGAAAGAACATGGAGGACATATGCATTAGGGCATTTTTGCTCTAGTTTTGACAAAAATAAGTTGAGTGCATTTTTTTTTCAAATTCTAAAAAAACGATAGGATGGCATTTTTTGACAAATTAATTAAATGTTCACCAGAATTCTATCTTTAGAGGATGACAATATTTGGAATAGTTACTTCAATAATCAATTTACAGGAGTAGAAACTAAAAACAGTCAAAACTGTGATCTCCCAACAGGAAAAAAACAATATTTCTTAGATGAATGCAACTTTTTTGATGATCATGATAGAGTTATCTATTTTAATAATGTTTCCGACACTTTATTTCTACATAATCAGTGTTCATTTAGTAAATGCACTTCAACATTAAATGGAAGTTGCGTTTACTACCAAATTGGCAAGAATAGTTCAATTGTTCAACGCAAATTCTGTTGTACAAAATGCGAAGGTAAAGGAAATGGCCAATTTTCATATACAAAAGTTGACACAGATAACATAAACTTTATTATTGAAAGTTCCATTTTCGATGTAGGAAATGAAAATGGAGGATCTGTTTGTCAAACAGAGAATGATAATGTCGTTGTCTCATCAACAAATTTCTCATCAAATAAAGCTTCTAACCAACCTGCTGGACATTATAGAGGTAAATCACTTCAATACACAACAACATTTAACTATTCAACTGTTGTTAATAATTTAGCAACAAATAATATATTAAATGTTTGGTATAAAGCTTTGATTGATTCATGTAATATTATAAATAATACCAAAACAACATCAGAAAGTGGAATTATTTACCATACAGTTAATTCTCTTACTGTAAAAAGTTGTTCTTTTATTAACAACACTACTCCTCAAGGTTCATATTTGATATATAACAAAGAAGCCGATCAATTAACAGTTGATAGTTGTTACATTGACAATTCGATTTCATCAACATTTCTTAGTAATGTAAAACCTAAAAATACAAGAGAACTATTTACTAACAAATTGATTCATTTTTCAACTGGTAATTGCCAAGCAGAATTTACAATTATCAAATCAATAGATAAAACTGAATCCATTGCAATTTTCTCTCACCGATTCCCACGTCGTCGATTATTAAATATTTTATATTAATTATTTATCTTGAATAAAATTACTTTTATTTATATAGAAACTTTCTAAAATATCCGTATTCTGTGTTCTGTAAAAAATTCAATGATGACAGAATTTATTACATTTCCATATGGATAAATGAATGTAATTAAATCCTACTCAAAAATTAGCATGGAATATGATAATATTGATTATTTATTTATTTTTTGTCTGGTGAAAAGTCTCGCACTTCACAATCTCATAATTTGATTATATTTAACATAACTATTAGTTGTTGTTGTATAGAGTTCTTGATTGTAACATCAACAAAACTTGGAAGATGGAAGTCAATGTCATTCGAATCTAAATATTCATGAATATATGTAATATACCTCTTGATTGTAATATCAACAACACTTGAAATATTGTTCTTTAATCAATGATTTATTACCTTATCATCTTACTTTTTTTATACTTCTAAAACATAAAATTCATTATTTATGAGATAATTAATAAAATAAAAAACAAAATAACTTTATTTATTTAGATTCTTTTGGGATGACGAAGCGTGGACATAAGTTGTTGATAGACTTTAACCAGAATTCTGAGAATTTCTGTGTTTCTTCTTTCATGAAATTGATATATGTTTCAAATGATGTAACACGTGACTTCATTTCACGTTGATATTCCTCAAATGAGCGATTCCTTTCAACAATAACGCCGCGATGCATAGATGTGTCAATAGATGTAATAATAGGCATCATTGCGGATTCAACAGACTTGATTGCATCTGATTTCTTTTTTGGTTTCTTAACTGTTTTCCTTCCTGAATTCTTCTCTTTCGTTTGTTGATCTTGACTTTCTGTTTGACTGGTCATAGAAGACAATGGTTCCATTGTTAAAGGTAATGTTGGCCATTGCCGGACATGGAATGGTCTGTCTTGGTCATCTGGTAATTGCATGGACTTCCTTTCTTTGTCTTTAATCAATGATTTCAATGTCCTGCGTTCTTCATTGGCAACTGGACCTGGAATCAAATCTTCTAATAATGGGAATTTATCAAACAATGACATCAATGAAGATGTGATTAATGGTAAATGTGATGTGAACATGTTCATTACGTTCTTCTCTGTTTCGATAATAGAGTTCTCGTAGTTTTGGATAACGGTTAATTCATTCTTACGTCGTTCTTCTTCTGAATTATACAATTTCTTTAATTCGGAAATGTTGTTTGAATCGGATAATTTAGGACTCAATGCTTTGACGTTTTGATCGCGTTGTGTTCTTAATTCTTTCATTTTATTGTTGAATTCGTCTTTGTTGTCAACAGTCAATAATTCGATTTTATCCGCATAATACTTAACAACACAATCATATATTAAAACTGTGGCTTCTCGTAATAATGGAAGAGATTGTGAAACTTGTGTTCTGTATTTCAAACCGGAACTGGAAAAGATTTGTTCTTTGTTCTCAATCTGTTTATTCCAGACTTGTTTTACATTATCAATGCACTCATTTTGGTTTGGTTTGATCTCGTTGACTCGGCAAATGTTCGACTTATTTGTCTTAAGTTGTGAAAAGTAGTCAGTGATAGTTTTTGTTGATGTTTGAGTCAACGATGATGTGATCTGATCAATCTGGCCTTGCATTGTGCCAAGAGAATCTTGTTCCGGTGCTTTCTTAGATGAAATCTTTGGTTTAGATGTGCTAGGTTTCTTCTGATTTCTTTTGTTTTTCTTGTCTTTATCGTTTTGTTCTTTATCATGATCACTACTAACAACTTGTGTTTCTAAGTCAATGTTGTAACCAATAGGATCATGTGAAATATCGCTTTTCATGATCATCAGGTGCTTGCCGCGTTTGACTAATGCAATACGTAAGCGTTCGATAGATTCAAATTCGCTTAATATCTTTTGTTGTGGATTTTCTTCAGATTGCAATGCTTCACTTAATTGGGAAATCAATGAATCGATTTCTTGTTCTTGTTGTCTGTTCCGGAAACACAATGTGTCGTATTTGGATTTGGCAACATGTTGTTGTGCATTCAATGATTCAATGAATGTAACATCAACTGTATGTTTAGGAACTAATTGTTGGAATTCTTCTGTTAATTGTTGATATTTGTGCTCGATTTCTGTTGACGCATTGTTGATCTTCTCATTCAATGCGTTATAAATATTAGAGACTTGGTTGTTCATCTTATCGAAATAGGCCATTGCGTTCGTCCGTTCATCATTGGAATATGAATCTTGTGCTAAAACAGTTTCGATGAATCGATCATTTAATTGTTTAAATGATGACTCTAAACTTCGAACTAATTCTTTTTCTTTATTCTTCTCTTCTTCGTATTCACTAAGAAAATGGTTTTCCATAATCTTAAATTCTTGTTCAAGCTCAACAAAGTGCTGAACTGAATGAATTTCGGAAATTTTGTTAATTAATGGGCGAAGTTCTTCGATTTTAGAGAACATTGACTGTTTGTACTGTTCAATACTTGGCTCAATGACTTGGAGAGTCTTATTGAAGCTCGCTGCCGAATGATGGAAATGTTTTTCTAATAACATTTTTCGAGATTCAATCTGGAGAACTCTTGTTTTGGCTGTGTTCAATTCTAACTGACTCAAACGAGGTGCATGAGTCCTCATACGCTCATTAAGCTGTTTTGCCCACTTGTTGCGTTCTAATTTGAATTGAACTTTGTAAACAACATCTGAAAATTGGTCATTTATAGAACATATGACTGATTTCCTGAATTCATTAACCCATGAGGAAATTTCGTTGTTTTGAGGAGTATAAATTTCAATAGCAAGATGATCATCAATTTTAGGAATACTTGTTACGAGGTTGAATTCTGGCATATCGTAATCTTCGTTATCTTGAGCTCCTTTCTTACCTTTGTTCTTACTATTTGGAGTTTTCGGAAGTGGCTTTTTCGGCTTAGGAATTGGAGGTTTTCCTTTGCCTTTGCCCTTCTGATTTCCTTGGTTGTTCTGTTCGTCGGAATTTTCGTCGAATTCTGGAATTACAGTAATTGGCTCGATTTCTTCGAATTTGGCTCCGTTGTTTGCTCCGAAAATGAATATATTTAATTTCAAGTCTTTGAGTTTGGGACGTCTAAGGATAGCCGATGACTTTCTTGCTGAATTAATTCTCGAATGAGAATTTGTAGCTTTCACAAAGCTGTCGAATTCAGGGGCATTGACTGTCTTACGGAGTTTCAATATGGTAAGGAGCTCTGTTTCGCCTTCTTCAAAGAGTTTTTTGACTTTTTCGGGTTGTTGGTCATAAATTTCAACAATTTGATCATATGATGATCTGTATTCCTTTTCTATCTGATCTAATATACCTTTGCATACAGTAACTGTATTGTTTATGTCTTTTTCATTAGCTAATAACGAAATTTCAGCTTCTTTCTCTGAAAATTGAGTTTCATACTTTGTTATCTCATCATTTGACTTATTAGTTACTGTTGTAACATTTTTACTCACTTCATCAAAGCAATTCTTTGTTTCATTGATATATTTTTCATATCTTTGAACAATTGGCAATATGAAGCTGTGAAGAGTCTCAAATACTTTACGTAAGACTGTTCTTTTACCATCCCAGAATTTTGTCAATTTTTCAATGAAAATTGAATTTAATTTTTGAGAATGTTTGTGGAGAGGTGTTAATTCTGCAATGGCATTAGCAGCCTCTGCATCTCCTTTCAATTGTTGGAGTTCTTGTTCGACATCTTGCAAGAGATTTGAATTTGTAAGAATATTCGCGTTTAAATGATCAGTAATTTTGGTTGTAAACATATTTATAAAATTATTATGGAATTGTAGCATCTCTTCAGCCTTATCCCACCATTGTTCGACGTCTTTTGAAGTGAATTTATCTGGTGGCATAATAATTGTATAATTTTGAATGATTTTTTGGAAGCAAAGTGTAAATTTCGCTTGTTCTCTGTAGAAATCTTCGAAGATTGTTCCGTATTCTAATTGTTTTAAAGGATCCAACTTATTCTTTGCATCATTAAAAACAGTTTCAAATCTATTTGTTCTCCAATCATCACTTCTCTTAAGAAACTCATCTACATTATCTTGTGAGGATTTCTTTGCTGATTCTATAAAAGAATCAAACATTTTTTCCATTTGAGTTTTATTTTTGTAAAACATCTCATTAAGAGATTTAATTGCCGTTGGAAGTCTATCAGAGTATTGTGGATCGAGAATTGGAAGCTGATCTTTCAAATCAGCGTAAATTTTGTCGATCATTGGTTGTAATTGATCAAATGACTTTTGATATGCAATCATTGATGATGATTTTAATTCATTTGCATGGTTTAAAACATTTTCTCCGATTTGAATAACTTGCTCTTTCAAATCTTCAAAAGAAACCGATGTAGTTTTCATTGAATCAAGTATATTCTTTTTAGTTTTTGATTTCTTCTCCTGCTTTGTAAGCTTGATATTCCTGAATAGATTTTGAAATTTGACTCTTACATTCGTTTGCAAGGGATTGCGCACTTTGTTCAAGAGATGAAATACATTTAAGATACCTATCTGTTAGAGATTTTTGATACTCATCGTAAGTTCCTCCTTCCCTTGAATGAGGAACTTCGATTTTCGACATTTTCTTTCTCTAAACGTGCAAAATCTCGCCCAAACTAAATTAAGCAGGAAAGAAGATATATTGTATATACTATCGATTTGAGTGAGATTTTCATGATAAATCTATCCAAATATTTGCAAATTCAGTAAAAATTTATATCAAATTTGGTCATTAGTAAAAAATCAGTTGAACAAATTATTAAAACACTCTAATATAACTTTTATTATATCCAAATTATATGGTTATTTGAGGGTAGTACTAAGAGATGGCTTCATTGATAGAGTCGTGCCGTTAGATGGAGTTTTACCTGCTTCTGCAGCTTTATCTTTTGATGGAGACTTTGTCATTGATAAACTTAATCCAGCCTTAGGTGCTGTTTGTTTTTCATTTTCAGCTTCCTTCTCTTTCTTCCTTTTCACTGCAGCTTCCTTCTCCTCTTCTTCCTTCTTACGTTTCTCTGCTTCTTTTTGTTCTTTCTCTTTTCTTTCTTTTTCTGTACTTTCTATAAACAATTTACGAGCTTCATCTCTAATTGAATCGTATTTATGATAGGTAGCCTTCTTTTCATTAGCTGGCTGTTTATTACTCTGAGTTTCTGGTACATCAGATATAGTAAGAAGTTCTGAATTGGAAGAGCCGAGATCTGTTCTTTGTCTGTATCCGTATGGAAGTAATGATGGTGGAAGGAAACTTGGCTGGAAAAATCCTTGTTGTCTTCTAGATTTAGGATTATCATCGGCCAATTCATGTTTATCTTCTTGTATAATATCATCCTTCTTGTCTTCTTTAACTTCGGCTGAAATATCGTTCTTTTCATTGAATAATTGAAGATGATTTTTAATGAATTTATCTGGTGAAGGTCTCATTCGAGATTTAATAACTGAGTAAACTAACAGTGCTATTATTACCACTAAAACACTACAAAATACTATATACTGTAATAAAATTTCTTCCTCCATTAATTTATGACGATAATTTTGATTTTGTAAATTCTATTTTGTCTTTTTTGAAACTCATTCCATTAGAAAATATTTATCATCTCAAACATGTATAATTATGATTTTTCCGTTTTCTAGTTAAATATCACATATGATTCATTATTCTCTATTAGATTCGAGCATATAGAATTCACTGATAGTATGCTATTATGTTAAAATCAATATGGTATGTCATATTTGGCACAATACGTATTAATTCTTCATATCTTTATTCAATTTCAAAGCTGTTGATAAATCTCAGGGATAATACATTAAAATATATTAGTGCTTCGCCTAAAGTTTAATATGTTGTTCCAAGTAGGGTGAGCAAGTTGTTCTTAGTCAAATCTTTAGCCGAATACAAATAGTCTTCGATTGGCAATGGTATTCAATAACGCAAAAACGCTCACTATCCTGTTAGTTAAAACTATTCTAGATTTAAGTTCGCAATTGATAATCACCGACCTAATGGGTTTTAACGCTAGTACTTGATGTTCGTATATGAACTGTGGAAATAAAGACGCATTTCTCTTGAGTTTTTGCATCATAAAGAACTAATTTTTACGATCATGTGGGGCCACTCCTTAAAATGATGATGTAATATGATGAAGATGATCATGTGATCTGAATCAGATCAATTGTTAAAATAAACGCATTGATTATTTGAGATTGCATCATTTTCCGGTATCGAAAAAAATCCAATTCAAAAGCTATTGAAACGTGACATATAAAAATCCAATATTTATATCCTAGTTTGAATAACAACTCGATTTCGCTATGTTTGTTCAACCTTTCTCAAAAAATTGTCAATTTTTTGGATAATGGATTACTTAGCGACGTCAAAATTCTTATATACGAAAAAAGAGATCTGACATTGTGTCAGATCTCAGTAAAAGTGACATTTACATGTCAAAAAAATAGAATGAGTTTAAGTAATTAAAATTGAGGGTGAGAGTAGTATTGTATGAAATAATATCTCTCACCCTCCAATTCATCCTATGGCGCCGAAAAAATTTTGGTGAAATGCGACCACATTTCACCAAAATTTCTCGGCGCCATATAGAGAACTAGAGCCTGTGAGGTACTGATACTATCCATGTACCTCGCAGGCTCTAGTTCCAAGCCAAAATGGCTAAAAATTGCCCGCAATTGTTCACATTGCGGGCAATTTTTAGCCATTTTGGCTGGGAATTGGAGGGTGAGAGTAGTATTGTATGAAATAATATCTCTCACCCTCCAATTCATCCTATGGCGCCGAAAAAATTTTGGTGAAATGCGACCACATTTCACCAAAATTTCTCGGCGCCATATAGAGAACTAGAGCCTGTGAGGTACTGATACTATCCATGTACCTCGCAGGCTCTAGTTCCAAGCCAAAATGGCTAAAAATTGCCCGCAATTGTTCACATTGCGGGCAATTTTTAGCCATTTTGGCTGGGAATTGGAGGGTGAGAGTAGTATTGTATGAAATAATATCTCTCACCCTCCAATTCATCCTATGGCGCCGAAAAAATTTTGGTGAAATGCGACCACATTTCACCAAAATTTCTCGGCGCCATATAGAGAACTAGAGCCTGTGAGGTACTGATACTATCCATGTACCTCGCAGGCTCTAGTTCCAAGCCAAAATGGCTAAAAATTGCCCGCAATTGTTCACATTGCGGGCAATTTTTAGCCATTTTGGCTGGGAATTGGAGGGTGAGAGTAGTATTGTATGAAATAATATCTCTCACCCTCCAATTCATCCTATGGCGCCGAAAAAATTTTGGTGAAATGCGACCACATTTCACCAAAATTTCTCGGCGCCATATAGAGAACTAGAGCCTGTGAGGTACTGATACTATCCATGTACCTCGCAGGCTCTAGTTCCAAGCCAAAATGGCTAAAAATTGCCCGCAATTGTTCACATTCCCATCTTTTGTTGGTAAGACGAAGAATATGAAATAAATTATGAAGAAGATAATGATGAATAAAATATCACTTTTTATATTTTTGACACGTAAAGTTGTCACTTTTCTGTCAAACCGTTTTTATCGTTTTCGTATATAACAAAATTACAGGTCAAAGCTGTCATGCTTGGCGATTCAAGAGTGGGAAAGACTTCGCTTCATAATAGGTATCATTTAAAGAAATGGGATCCTAATTCTGCAGCAACAATTTCAGCTGTTTGCTTAAAAACAGATTTAACTATAGATAATGTCAATTTCGATTTTTGCGTATGGGATACTGCTGGTCAAGAGAAGTTTCGTAGCATTTGTCCCATTTATTATCGATATGCTCATGTGGCATTAATAGTATTTGATCTTACTTCAAGTAGTACTTTCGAAATGGTTAAGTTTTGGGTAAAGGAACTTCGATCCCAAGGACCAATAGGTATTCCTATTGTAATTTTGGCTAATAAATACGATAGAAAAGATGAAGTGGAAACATATCCACAAGAAAATGATCTAATAGAATATAAAAACTCTATAGGAGCAGATTGCTTTTATATGTCTGCACTTACAGGCTACAATGTCGATGAAGCATTTTTGCATGCAGCAAAAATCGGTTTGAAATTCTATCAAGAGCAGCAATTAGTATCGATGCCGCAACCTCCTAAGTCTTCTACTCTTGAAAGCACAAATCAAGCTGCTCCACAACAAGAAAAAGCCTGCTGTTAGTATAAATTTTCCTTTATGTAATAAAATAGTACTGTTTTGATTTCATATTAAAGTTATCTATTGATTTTTTACTTTATACAAAACAATATGAGCTCATGTTGCCTAAAAATTTAGAAAATTAAAAAGTAGTATATATGGCGGGGTTAGTGACTTTTTTTGTAAACGTAAGAATTCATACAATATTGAACGATTTTGTATCATTTTTTTTAACATATGAAGTAAAAAATGTATGATTCTTACGGTTTTTATTCTTACGTTTTTGAATAAATCAAGATTTAAAAATATTCAAAATTGTAAGACATTTACACTCAGCCCATACATAATGTAATAAAAAAAATAAAAGAAGCTATATATATATAGATGATGTCAGATATTCCGCGATTAATTAAACATTGTTTAAATCCTGAATGGAATCAATGGAGTCATAATCAAAGACCTCATAAACGAGTAAAAGAAATTAGAAACTAATGTCTTACATTTTTGAATAATTTATTTTTTAAATTCGTAAGAAATGAGTGAATCAAAATTCATGACTGTGAATCAATTAATGAATAAACTTTCACCAATTCTCACCCATGTTAAACAAGTAGACGTTTATTTTGATGATTGCATAGAAAGTTTATTTTATAAAGGTAAGTTTAATATTAAACCTATTGCTTTTGCATTTGATGGTAAATTAATCGAAAATTCAAAAATTTGGGAATTAATTCCGGATATTGAATTTATAACAAATATTAAGGATAAGTGGTTTAAACAACAAAACCACTTCACTAAAGTTCTTTGTAGATTAATGATTAAAACTGAGGAAAAAGAATTTAACAGGTTTAAATATCATCCATGTAAAATTTTAGAACTTGGTAACGAAAAACTTCAGAAAAAATTAAACGCAAGACTATCAAAAGATAGAGTTGAAAGAGTAATTAAACTCGCTAAAGATAATGATGATGAAGATGAATTTGATGAGTTCAACATTGAACTTTAAGAAATTAATGATTATTTGAATTTATGAAATCAATTATTTGATTCATGTCTTACGAAAAATTAAAACTTAGTTATGTTTATTATTTTATTTTTTATTTTGTATGAAATGAGTGTCACAACTAACAATGTTAAAAATTTAGGATTCACAAATGAGGAAATAAAGGATATATTAAAGGAGGCGGGTTATGAAGTTGATAAATATTATTTAAGAAATTGTAAAAAATTCGCGGAGTTTTTAAATGAATTTGATTATGATGGAAAAATGAATAAAGATGATGTTATAAATTTCTTATATCCCACATCTGAAAAAGAAAAACCTAAAGAACCTGATGTTTTCCCTGAATATTATGAAGAACGGATTAAAGATAATGAATATGATGAAATTGAAAGACTGGAAAAAATAAGAGATGAAATAGATGAAAAAATTAAGGAATTAAGAGAAGTTGAAAAATATAATGAAAATGAAGTAGAGGGTTTAATGAATATCCCAGCTTCAGAATCAGAAGTTCAGAAATCTCATGAAGAAAGATATAAAAATTATGTCTTAGAATCAACACAAAATTTATTAGATGGCGAAATAGATGAAACACTTTCAGAAGAAGGCACAAAATTTATTCATAAACATAAGTTACAATTTATTGACGATGGAGATTATCCATGTATATTACTTTCACCTCTCTTGATTCTGAAAAATTCAAAAAGCACTGAAAAATGTAACATATGCAACAAATACAATTTAAGAAAGAAGACCATGATATTTACACAAATTATTATTTAAATAAATGTACAGGTGTTGATAAAGTTTTTGATTTGTTAGATAAAATATCAAAAGAAACAATTGGAACCTATAAATTTTATGTGATTGTGGTTTCATTATTGAAGATACCAATAATGTTTCATATGAAAGACAGACCGAAGGAAGACGAAGTTGAAAGGTCTATACCATTCGTTATTAAGAATATAAAAGATATGAAAACGTATAAGCATTATATTTATTCATTTATTTCAGAAAAAATGGAAGCAACCCATAAAACATCATCTCATCATTTTATAGCTATTCATACATTCCTTTTCAAAGTTGTGAAATTAAATAAGACAGGAATTAGATTTAATGTATCAGGGTACACATTCTTGAGTAAATTAAAATGTATTCGTCACGTCGCAGATGATAAAAATTTATGTGTTCTTAATTCATTTTATGGGCTTTAAAGAATAAACTTTATTTTTATTTTTTAATTTTTATTCTTACATAAATGAACAAAAATGGAACAGCTAAAATGAATGATAATCAAATAAGAGCCGAAGGTAGAAGGTTATTTAAACGCTTCTATAACATTCCTGATGGTGTTAATCCTAAAACTCGTAGAAGTTATTTAAATGAAGCCATAGATGCATATGAAGGGTTTGACATTTCATCAGAAAGTGAGAGATTAGCGAGAATGTTAAATGTTAATATTGATTTCTATTATTGTGATCCTCAACCAGAAGACGTGGACATAAATAAGGTAGACTTTCCATTAGTGGAATCAATAATGATAGATCCAGAATTTGAAACAGTAAATATTTTATTAACACAGAGTCCATGTGGAAAACTTCACGCTGACAAATAACAGACGTTGAAGCACTCACAGGATATAAAGTTTGCCCCTTTTGCAAAGAAGAAGTATATTCTATCCGTGATGATCCAGAAAGGAAAAACAAAGAAGATTTTTAAAACATTGTGAGAAATGTAAAGAAAATAATGGAAGATTAATTCAAGACGTTCAATTGCAAAACACACAACAACCATATGCACCACATATACGAAACAGAAGATATATCAATGGCTATTAGCACATAATTTGCAGGAATATATAAACCAACAAGATATTATATTACTTTTGACTTCGAAACATTAGAGACTAAAGAAGAATTACAACTTTCTGAGTGTGCAACTTTAAACGCTTACTTAAAACCATTCATGGTATCATCAACGGTTAAATTAAACGATAAAACATTATACGAGGAATTTTTGCTTAACTTCGAGTGATTCTTTTATTTCTGATTGGATTGAGTTTTTATTTTCAACCTGTTCATTAGTTGCTAAATCAAATATTGAACAATATGAAGAATTAATGAAGTCGCAAACATTAAATGAAAAACAGAAGGAAGCATTTAAAGAGCTTTTAGATGAAGAATTTAATAAAGTGAATATCATTGGTTTTAATTCAGGAAAGTTTGATTTAAATTTAATTCTTCGTGATTTAAATACTGCAAATGGAAGATAAAATCAATGCTGGGTTCTTCTTCTCAATTTAAGCAAGTCATAGTAAAGAAAACAAACTGTCCATATGAATTAAGATTTATTGACATCAGAAATTATATAGCGGGTGGAACATTAGACCAATTCACTCAAGATTTCGGAAACAATAAATCACGTGTTAAATCCTTTTTCCCTTATCAATTCATCACATGGGAGAATTACGAAGATGAATTATATAAAAAGGAACCATTCACTCAAGATTCATTTTATTCAGCATTAACACAAGAAACAATATCCGATTCAGATTATCAAATATATCTCAATGATGCTAAAAACTTTAAGAATAGATTAGAATATTTTATTCATTATTGCAATAAAGATGTTGAAATTATGATTGACCCAATTGATAAAAATTATTGAAGAAACATTTGTTTATAAAATTGATATGCTTCATAATCTTTCTTTATCATCGAATGCATCAATGATTCGTTACGCGTTAGCATATAAGAACTTCAATCCTAACGAAACATATCCAGAAGAAGAAAATGTGGAATCAAGTTTTGAATTAACAAAAAAGTATTGGAAATATAAAATTGAATCATATAAGAAACAAGATGAAAAAGCGGAAAGGGATACTAAAAACAATGTTTCAATGGATGACTATCAATACTATCACGATTTAATCCTTTCATCTAAATGCAAAATGTGTGGTAAAGCGTTTACATATGCAAATAAACCAACATTGGATAGAATAGATAATGAAAAACCACATACCAAAGAAAATTGTCAGTTAATGTGTTGTTATTGCAATGTCGTAAAATCAAATAAAGATGAAGATGTTCAACGTTTAAGAATCAATTTAAGAAATTATGCATTAAAAAATAATTTACCAATGACTTTAGATTCAGTTGAAGCTTATCACATTCTCCGTAATGGAATTACTGGTGGTCTATCAAATGTTCAACATCGTGTTAATCTTAAAGAATCACGCACATTAATAAACTTTCATATAATCCAGAAACTAAAACTGTATCAAATGAGGACACCACCAACATTATAACTCATTTCGTTGGAGTTGACTTTAATTCATTATATCCTTCATCATTTTCATCTAATCCTCATGATTTCATTCAATATACTGACCATAAAATGTATATGCCGGGAAGATTGAATGGTGTTATCATTTGTGATACAGCAACAAAGAAAGCAAAAGCACTGGGAATAATTAAGAAGAAAAATACTTTATTCGTGGCTGAAGTAAAGGGTCACATTTGATGAAAAATACATTAATGATTACATTAACTTTTTACCGATAATAAGAAACTTAGATATTATCACAGATGAAAAAACAATTGGCAGTTTTATGTATAATTACATGAAATCAAACAATCTACCAGTTGACCAGAAAACAGAGGAAATTAACTCAGTTAGCATCAAACACAACCAATATCAACCATTTTCTTCTTATTATCTTTGGTATCTAATAGACAGATTTCATTTTATCATCGATGATATTCAATCAATTTTAACATTTACGAAAAACACTTGTTTTAATGAATTGCGAACAAATTTATGAACGAAAGACAAAAGGCTGAATTAGAAGGAAATAAAGGAAAAAGTTTATTTTGCAAGATTTCACTTAATGGATCATATGGTTACGATGCAATGAATACACAAAATTACGCAAAGACTAAAATAATGAATGCACAGAAGTCACGCGTTGCATGTATGTCAAATAAGTTTAAAAACATAAGAGAAATAGGTGAAGATACATATCAAGTGATGCTTAAAGATAGATTTTATAGATGTGATACATGTTTACAAGAGGCATTCTTCACTTTAGATAATGCTAAATACTGGTATTTGGTTTTCATTTATGATTTTATGTATAAATGCATGGATGTTAATCGTTTTCATTTCATTGAAGGTGATACTGATTCATCTTATTGGGCAATCGCTGGCGACCCAAATCTTCCTAACACTCAAGCATTTCAAGCAATTGTTACGATAAACAATTTTATGATAAAAACATTTTCAAATTCGCACCTTTTGATTTCTTCTGTTTTGATGAGAAATTTAAACCTAAATTAAAGAATAAAGCTGAAGAAAAAGCACATGAGAAGAAGTTATTGGGTTTAGCAATTGAGAAACAAGGTGATAACATGGTTGCTTTATGTCCTAAGTGTTATACATCATTCAATGGTTCAATTGATGGAAGTGATTTAAAAAGATTGCACAAAAAATGAAAGGTGTTAGTTTACGACAAAATAAACAATTAACACCTAAAAATTATTTGGATATAATAAATGATAAATTGATATTTGATGATCAGAATATTAATTACAACTTAAAAATGGGTCAATGACTCGCTTAACAATTGGTAAGACTGCATTAACAGGAGCACACACTAAGGCTGTATGTTGTGAAAATGGATGTTGTATGCCATTTATTTTAATAAAATACCACAGAAGAGACAAAAGGAACCGTTAATGATGGTTTTGATACTATGATTCAAAGAGGTGGGCACCCTTAAAACATTGATTTTATTTTTATATAAATGAATAACACAGATTTAAAATTTTAATTGATGATTTAGTATTTAATCAAAATTTTCTTAATTATTATGATTTAAAGCATATCTCCAAAAATATAATAATAATATAACGGGTGATGATATGGAATATTATTATCCATATTATAAAAATGAAATTTTGAAATATCATAATAAAATAATTTCTGAAATTAAAGACAAAATTAAA